TCCCCGCGGGCCAGCCAGAGCCTACTCCTGCTTCACCTCAGGCCGGCTGTGGCCTCCCGCTGCAGGCCCCTGCGCTGGTGGCTTGGGAAATCGTCTGGGGAGGCTTTCAGAAGCTCCAGTTCAGGGCACAACTGGTTTGTGCAACAAGCTTAAACAGATCTGTTATTAACTGGTGCCAGGGTTTTCTTGGTGCATTTTGTTACAGTCTCAGCTACATAAATCATGCGCTGTTCTGTGTGCATGCAGCACACGCGGTGTGTTGAGCTTGGTACAGATACATAGAGTGACTGTGCTTTGTACAGGTGGATTGTGGAATCACCTGTACACATACAAATAAACTGTGCCATTCACAGAGTGTTTGGGGTTGGAAGGGACCTCTGTGGATAATTCAGTCCAACCCTCCTGCCAAAGCAGAGTCACCTAGAGCAGGCTGCACAGGACCTTGTCCAGGCGGGTCTTGAATATCTCCAGAGAAGGAGACTCCACAACCTCCCTGGGCAGCCCGTTCCAGTGCCCGTCACCCTCAGAGGGAAGAAGTTCTTCCTCATGTTCAGCTGGAACTTCCCATGCTTTACTTTGTGCCTGTTAGTCTCTTGTCCTGTTGCTGGGCACCACTGAAAAGAGTCTGGCCCTATCCTCCTAACACCCACCCTTCAGATATTTGTAGGCATTTATAAGGTCCCCTCTCAGCCTTCTCTTCTTCAGGCTGAACAAGCCCAGCTCCCTCAGCCTTTCCTTGCAGGAGAGATGCTCCAGTCCCCTCATCACCTTGGTAGCCCTCCTTCATAGACAATTTGTGTAGATAAACTATATCTTCAGTTCTATGGGAAAATGACCATTCACTGTGAAACTAGAGCTAGAACCATGTTCAATCAGCTTTGCACACTCAACTGAATTAAGTTTGGGGTGTAGCTGGAGCCCTGGAACAGCACTGATCCTTCATCAATTTCACCTTTTAAGAATAGCAAACACTCTTAGATTTCTCTAGTAACCAGTTTTACATTGGCCTTTTAGATTTTTTTCTATATTGTAATGCTACAGTCTCCGCAGATCTGTTGTAAGACTGAGACAGAGTAGTAAAACATAACTTGTCATGCAGTAGCGCTCGCTAGTTTAAAATTATGTATTTTCAATAAATGTTAATTAAAATATGGAAGATATTTCAGGAAAGAGAGCAGTTATTATGGAACATGGTGTGTGTTTATGAGCTTTATACATTTATGGTCTGTCTGATCCTGGCCTCTCCCTTTTAAAGTATCTAATTAAGTGTGGAAATGTTTTTGAGTAGTATGTGATTTTATGATCTCATGATTGTCAAAACACTTACTGGTAAGATCTGTCTCTGATAGCAAGGACTTGACTTAACAATCTGTTTGTTCCTAACTTAGGTAACTATTACATGCTGTGTTATCTAGAGAACTTCACGTATTACTTTATACTACAATTTCATGAAGTCTCTTAGTAGTGCCTTTAGCACTATGACTAATATTAGTTACTTTTCATTCTTTCTCCAAGATGTGGAGATAGATGTGAAATTGAACGTCTTGGTGGTTTGGTAATTACAGAATCATCTGCTGAAATTTGGAGTTATTTTCGGGTTATTTTCATCAACATATAAACATGCGCTTAGTTCTTTGAATTTGGAACAGAAGGTGGGGAAGTGTGTAATGATTTTAGCCTGTCTGCCCATCCACAAATTTAAAATTTAAACTGTGTATCTTTAGAAAATTCTGCTTTCTGTAAGTGTGCTCTGTGCAGCTTTTTGTGGCAGAGGAAGGCAGATGGGGACTGGGATGGTGACCTGACAGTACAAGCCCGCTAGGTAAGCACCGAGAACTTCGTGTGAGGAGACACTTGGTATAGAAACGAGAAGACGAATCTCATGAGCTACAAGTAGACTGGATTGCTGAAGAGATACGCTGCAGTATTGATAGGTCAGGACAGAAGCCTCAGGCACAGGCGTGTAGCATCACTGTAGCCCTGCTAAGTGATCGCAGGTGTTACCGTAGCGGCCCTAACATGATCGAAGTAGGTAGTGTTCTGCCTAAAGGCCTTTGTGTCATTGGAATAATAGGAGTTTGTTGTTTTTACTTAGAAGAAGAGTTAGTGTTACCTCTAAGTCAAGGAGCTGTCCTTGGAAGAGGTAAGAACACCCTGAGAAGACTGCTCGTTAGCGCTTGGCTAGTTTTGGCTGGTTCCAGTGGAAAAGCAGTGTCCAAAAGTAGCCTATCCTTCATTATAATACATTATAATACTAAAAATCACACCCCCTGGGGGCAACACCCTCAGACCCTTCCTCACTGAACACGAGCAGTGTAAAAATGCTGACCAAGTATTAGGTAAATGACGCAGCCGGTCAGCGGCACGGACTGCCCCGTGGGCTGAAACTTCCTGGTGAGAAATGGCATGAGGGTTGGTGTCTTTTGTAAGGTGTGCTGGTGTTACCGAGCGTCCCAACTTGCGCAGCTTTGTAGGGAATATCTCGTCTCAGCGTGTGAGATTGGTCGTTGCACACCGGGAACGAACTTGCACTTTTGCGACAACACAGTGAGTAAAATTTAATAAAACCACCACCAGGCAGCTTACTCCATTTCACACACTCAGCATTTACAGAACGGGGCGTAACTTGCACCAACACTCTCCAAAGAACTACACCAAGTTCTTGGCCACGCTCTTGCGGCAGACGGGAGAAACTCCCACTGCGCTTCCTGGAGCCTGGGCCCCCGGCTGCGGTGGGGACCTCGCCGCCCGCGTCCTCGCTGCCGCAGGCACCGCAGCCTTCCCAG